CTGCCAGGGACTAACTATCACTGTGGCCATATTAAGACAGAGTGATCCATCTAAATGAGCTCACGTTGGCAATTTTATGATGGGTGGAACATTATTTGGTTTTCCAACCTTTCCCCTTGGCTTCCTTTCAGCCTTCCAGACATATCATCAAGTAAGAATGCTTCAGTGCCTTCTCACTGACCCAGGAGTGAGCAACCACACGGAGCAAGTAAGTATTCAATTACTTCCCCCACTGAGATCTGTACACCTTTCTTACACTTTTCCCCTATGACACTTTCATAACCATATTTAGTTTTCTTCCTACCATCTCCCTGTAATTCAAAAGGCAATTTAGACTTCCATATGGTTGCCATTGGAGCTAACAGATGTCTAACAAATTAAAGCAAAAATTATGCCTTACAAACTGCTGATGTATCATCATTCGAGAACATCGTACAATTTATAGTGAATCATAAGATAAGGCTTCCTACTTGATGCCCCCCAAGGTTCCTGAAATCCCCCTCCTCTCTGAATTTAAGCACTGTGGAAACAAATTAGGTACAACATTCTGCCATCAACCCAGGATAAACCTCCACTTAAAGACATAATGCAGTATCTGCAAACACATCAAAGAGAATTTGGCCTCAAGTATCCAAGGCTGTTTTAATCCTTGTACAGTAAAGAGAAGAGAAAAATGAATGACTTGGTTCTTCCAAATCACTGAAGGCTTCCACAGATCCATGAGCCTTTTTTCTAACAAATGATGATTAAATCTACAGAATCCATTCACCTCATCTCCTTTAGATCCAAAGGATATCATTATTACCTGGTAGTAATGATGCCAACATACCACCAGGCTAAGGTATTCTAGAAATTGTAAAGTCTGGGATGGAACTGGTATGAAATCTGGAGATAATAACAATAATAATACGCACCATTTTTTAAATATTGAGACACTGTGCTTGGTAATACAGTTCCTCATTGAATCCTTCAATCCACAGCTACATTAGATAATGTTACTGTTCGTCTATAAACAAGAATTTAACGATCAGTACAGCAGACTGCATTTTCCAAAGATGGCCACAACCCATACAACCTAAACACCTGTCCATCAAGACAGAATCCTTTTCCTCACCCTCTTGAAATTGAGCAGGCTCCAATGCTTGGTTTAACCAGTGAAACAAATGCAAGTGACAGTGAGCCAGTTCCAGGTACAGTGTTCAATGGCTGAAGCTTCTTCCGTTCTGAGACAGGAAGCCACATGTAAGCTCCAGCCAAGGACCCTGGCTGAGCTCTCCGCAAGGGACTCCATACCAACTGAGTCTTCAGATAATTCCAGCTCTGGCCACATCTCACTGCAACTGCATGAGAAATCCCAAGTGCCAGCTGCCCAGATGCGGCTGGTCAAATTACAGAACTGTGAGATATTAACAATAAAGTTCTGTTTTAAACCACTAAGTTCTAGGGCTTTGTGTTATGTAGCAATAAATACTGAGAATACTGAAATAATTCCCTCGCCTAAGAAAAGTTCAGAATTACAGCCAGAATCCAAAAGGGTCCAGAGCTATTAATGTGGGTGATGGGATGTAGAGGATTCAGTACCCAAAAGAAGCAACTGTAAAAACAATACTTCCTTTTTTCTTCCCTCTCCCGCCCCAAAGCAGCCTCAGGGTTTTCTGAGCAATGTCCCAGGATGGTGACACCCTCAATAATATCAATTCCCTTCTGGCTTGAGCTCTCCCAATATAAAACAGGGATAATAAGATTTTCCCCACTACCCTGTGATAACTAATGAGAAAGGAATCTGTACAAGATGTTGACTTTGTTACTCAGAATATCATTACAACTGTTATATAAAAGGAATCAGATTTTACACCCGAAACTCTAACTCTAATAATAAAAATATATTTAATGACTCAAAGGACTACATTTGAGATTCACAATGGGCACAGGGGAACACATATTCTATACCAATAAAGGAATAAGACCAGAAGAAATTTTTAAAAGATTTTTTAATGAAAGAATCTTTGAGGAAGAAATGAAATAATAAAACTGATCTTCAGACAAGTCTCAGTAAGAGAAAAGGTCTATAATTTAACAAATATCCCAATATATGCTACTTTCATTATATATTAGGGTCCATCGCTAGTATTTTTTTCCCCCAGCATATTGGAACTCAATAGACTCATTCTTTTCCAGAACTAGAAAGAGACTTACAACTCATCCAATTCCTTCATTTTAACTGCTGAGAAACTGAGGCTTGGGGCAGTTAACTGAGTAGCAAGGAGTCAAACTACTCGTTTGTAAGAGAAACAAATTCTTAGTGCTGGTGCTATTATATTTTCAATTTTTATGTTACCAGGATTTTACCTCCAAATGTCTTCAATGTAATTCAAATTTATTCTAGCATTTCACAGAGAGAACATGAAAGGTTGGGAAACCATGCTCTCTGTTATCAATCTCTTCTTCATAACTGTATGAGTCGAGCCAAGTCTGCTCTTTCTGGAAGTCACAGGGAGAATGTTGACTCTGTAGAGGGCACAAGTATGCAACTTTACAGACACAGGCTGCCCAGTTACTGACCCCAGTTCTTCAGTCACTAACAGCTTAGTCTGAATTACTTTCATCGAATATCAAGGTTGCCTTCCTATTGATCATCATGAGAGACAAGGATACTGACAAACTGGGAGGCTTTAATATGAGGTAATTTTGAAACAGAGGGCAGGATAGGAAAAGTATGGATGTCGAGGGGCGGGGAGGAGGAGTTATCTGAGTGGAGAACTTCAGGCAGAGAAAGGAGTAAAAGGATGAATTGGAAGCAAAGTAAAATAAGGGTCCTTGTAACAAAGGCATGTATGTAACAATTCTTCCCTGGCCATCTCATTTAGTTCCAAAGCCTACATCTGTTTTTAGGCTTCCTACCCCCCCAGAGACAAAGACCTTCAAAATCAGACAAGATGTGGCTCTGTTCTGGAACTCTCTGTGCAAGCATTCTGCAACTCCTTGAAGGTCTCCACAATTCCACAGGTTTTTCTACACCCTCGTCCACAGAAAATACTAAATTTGCCTCTTGGGCACTGTATAAAATTATACCAAGCTGTCAGAGAAACAGGCGCAAGTCCCTTTATTTCTCTCTACCTCCTCCTATGAAACTGCAGAGAAAGTCCCTGGGTGCTTTCTACGCCTGGCAGCTAAAATGTGCAACTTTTGGAAATGTTCAAGTAGAATCAAAAGGTCTGGGCTCACTACCCCAACATGGTCCAGTCCCAGTTCCATAGTCCCTGACTCTCAAAGTCAATAAGTTACGAATTCAGATAAGTTCAGATAAAACTGAAACACCTCACTGAGAAATACTGCTACCCAACACTTTTAAACACTCCGTAGGGGTGGGGAGAAAAAAGAAGCAAAGAAAGAAAATAATTTATCCTTCCTATATCTGTAGCAGTGTTTGTAGGGAGGGCGATGACTGCTAACAGAAACATGTACAATCGCTGGCAAAAAAAAAAAGACAAAACCTGCCTGTGAATGACTGCGTATTATATTTATTTATGTGTCCCTCTCATTATCTTTATTATCCCTTGAGGAGAGATGACATGCTGACACAAAAAGTGGTCCCCAATCCCTTCCATTTTCTTTGGCAAAACATGTATGACCAATGCAAGATACTCCTATAGGAACCAAAATAAAAATAGTTTGGTAATTGTGTGGTAGGAAAAAAATACAAAGAACTGTACTGAAAACTATTCTTATAATCTATATGCTTACAGCCAATGGCCAAAATTGAAGGAAATCAAAATAAACACACCCTGTGTTCAGACTGTTGTGAATTATTATTGATCCCACCTTTGCATTATTATTTACCTCACACTGAATCTACACTGGAACAGCAACTTGGAGTACCCCCCAAACAGCCACCATCTTTACTTCCCAAGGGGCAGGGTAGTGCCCAATAAGGAAGAGAAAGGGATGGGATGGGCTGGGCTGCGATGGGATGGGATGGGATGAGATAAGGAGGAAAAATAACACGGTCTTTGAAGCGGTTTCCCCGGCCCTAGTGAACTCTTTGTCTGGTTGCTGAACACGTTTGTGAGATCAAGGAAAAGAATCCAAACAAAAGAGTAGGCGTCCCAAGCCCAATTACAATAGGTGCCAAGCACCTCGTAGTGCCAGCAGAGCATGGTTTGAATCTTGCGTTCAAGCATTTGCTCTCTCAGTACCCCCAATAAAACAGGTCTTGCATCCCTTCTTCTCCTTTGCATTTTCCCAAAACAGCCCGCTTGATGTCACTCCTTTAAAAAGGAGAACAAGAGGCACAAACACATGGAAACAAATGTTGATGTTGTCGTATTATTCTGACAGTAATATATTCATAAATAAATCCATCCACCTCACGCGCCCGCTGGCCAGTCCATTACGCAAAAAGGAGTGCTTTCCAGCCGAAGGGGAAGAGCTTGCAGCAAGCGTTATTTACGTGCACATTACAGAACCATATACCGCCGCATCTGCATCCTACACAAAGCCCGAGATGGTGCAGGAAGATACACGCTGAGCAAGGCACACACCAGCCGCGGCAACACGGAGCCAAGCCCTCGTCCAATCAGAGCCTTGTTAGAAGATGGACCTCAGGGTCGGCTCTGCCCGATTAGCCTTCCCTATTATGACACCACGCTCTGCCCAACATCCATTTCCCACCGGGAGCAAATTTAATTCGTGTGGTTGCTCGTTTCTCAAACTGTCGAGACCTTTCTTTCATCTGCATCCCCTCGTCGTCCCTTAAAAGGCCACCCCAAGGCCTGGGTGCTTCCCTCTCCGGCTCGGTTTTTCTTTTTTACCTCTTCCCATTCCTATAAAGGATGAAATGTTTTCCAACGCACAAGCTGGAGAGGCGGGAGGCAAACGCCTCTCCAAGCTCCGGCACGTGCCCGAGGGGCTTCAAAAAGTAAAGGTAGCAAACAACGCAGGGGAAATCTTCGCGAATCGATCGGCCACGATAGTTGAAATCCCAAAGAGCTCCAACTTACCCAAAATATGACATTGAAGCCAAATATGAAATATTTGATGCAACAACTGACTTCAGGACCCTTGTAGTGCTTCCCGGACATCCTCTGGGTTCATGAAGGCACTTGCCCCGGCAGCCCGAGTTTGGAGCCCCGGAGCACCGGTGCTCAAGCAGCCCGGCAGGGAGCTGGGGCTCGGAGACGCCGCTCGGGGCCGCGGCGCGGCGGCCCGAGCTGATCCACGCGGGGTCCAACCGGCGGAGAGCGGCTCCAGCCCCTGGCACGCCGAGGCCGCCGAAGCCGGGGTGGCCGCGAGCGGGCAGGGACGCCGCGCGCTGCAAGCCCGGAGCCTCGTCGAAGCTGACCCCGAGCACCAGGCGAGCGCCCGCGTCCGTCCGCCAGGCGATCTCTCCGTCGGTCCGTCTACGTGCTTCAGACAAACGCAGCCGCGGCAGATGCTGGAGGGGACGCTACTAGCCTGCCCGCGGGCTCAAACGCGCCCTCCCACCCCTCGCTCCGCCCGCCGCTCGCTCCACCCGCTCGGCCGGTCGCTCCTCCACCCGCGCCGCCCGCAGCTCCGCCCGCTGCCCGCCACCCTAGCCTCAACGAGGCGCGCGCGCGCGCGCACGGGCTCGGGCGCTCGCGGGCTGCTGTGGCACCACGTAGCCGCACCACCTCCTCCTTCCACCTCTCTCCGCTCCGCCCGCTCCTTTTCCCCGCCCCTTCTCTGGCGACCCTAGCACTGACGACCCCCGAGCGCTGCAGTGGGTAGTTGGGGAAGGCGGCAGGCGGAAGGAAGGAGGGAGGGCGCCCCGGAGCGCGCCGCTTGGGAGCAGCCTGGCGGAGAAACCGCGATTGATGAGCGGCGGGTCCCTGTCCGTCACCGCACCAGGAGATAGCTTCTGGAGGCACCCGGGGGAGAGGGTCGCTACGGGGTGAGAGGGCTGGGTGAGTAGGGATCCGGCGAGCCGCCCTGCCCCAGGATGAGTCCTTTTCCGGCTGTAACTACACTCATTCCATCTTTCTTCACCTTGCAGAAGACCCCGGGCCACTGAGCCTGAGAGGAGAAGGTCGTAGACTTCGCTGAGGGCTAAGAGGTAAGGTAGAGTGTGGGGAAGGGAGAGAAAATAACGACGAAAGATGGGGGAAGCGAATCGGGAGGGTTGCAAAGGGAAGTCTCTCGAATCCCAGTGTGGCTCCAACCCAACCTACCCACCTGCCAGAAAAATGAGGTTTATTCTAGAAGCAGAGACGAGGAAAGAGACAAAGTCCAAAGGAGTCCTGATCTGGAATACGACCCTCGCCCTAGGATATGTTGCAACAAAGCCAGGCAGCAAATGCCCCCACGAGGGAATAACGCTCAAGGAACCTGACTGGTTCCTAATTCTTAAGAAGAAATCCAGAATGGGTTTCAGGACAGCCATCCAAGGAATTCGAATAGCGTTTATAGATCCTGTACAATTAAGCATTTGACCTCTGGGGAAAGATAAGAACGCATGTCTGGAAATAGTTTTTGAGCTCTAGCTGAGAAGGCGTTTCCTCTCTGCCCTCCTCCTGAAGCACTTTCATAGGTGCTAACCAGCAGGTACCAGTATATCGTGCAAGAAGAATAAAGAACCGCTCAGACCGTGTAAACATCAATGGTTTTGTTTGTTTGTTTTAAGGCTTCAAAAAGCTACAAAGAGAGATGAGATCAGGAAACTTTTCCAGCACCCCTCCATGTAACCTGTACTGGGAACAGAAATCTGCAAGTTTCCTAAGTTCCCCAGGTGAAACTTAAGTACGCTTAAGTTTGAGAACCTTTGGCAAAGGATTTGCCTACTTAAGCACCCCTCGCTCTTCTCAAAAACTGTCTAGCTAGTTGACAACCTACAGTCCAGCTTTGGAGAGACAAGACGTTACTTTTTCTTGCAATAAACCACACCTTGAGATAGGCTTGAGCTTGAAAGAGATTGATGCTAACGATACTGAGGTCACAGGGAGGAGCCAGGGTACTCAGAAAGGTGGGAGCACCAGGAGATCCTACCCATTTAATAACAGAACTATGACAGTGGCTAACTTTGAATGACATAAACAGCCTTTTGGGTGAAATAACTCTCCCTCAAAAGCACGTTGCACCGACCCAAAGCACACAGCATACTATCACCAAGCTGGTAGGCTTCAAAGGTAAGGCCCCCCACAACAGATTCCCTATTAACAGGAAAGCACTAGCAAGCTTTACCTAAGCCTATTAGTGCTATATTGTAATTCTTCCTATAAATAGAACAGTAGCTGCAGATTCCTGGATAGGCCAGAGGAAAGGTCTATCTTAAGCTGATGTGACACAATTCAGAAAAGGACTAGAAATTAGGTCCAGTTGATGACTGAGTTGATCCCTAAGCAGAATTTATCTTTGAAATAAAAATCAATGGAGAAGGGAAAGTTCAGATACCCTAATTCGTTGGGCAATTTTGAGAGGGGTGAGAGGGGAACTAGTTGAATCCTCATTTCATATATCAAACTAAATTCTGTCCTGGCCAGTGTGGCTCAGTTGGTTGGAGCGTGGTGGATTCCTGGTCAGGGCACATGCCTAGGTTGCTGGTTTGGTTCCCAGCTGGGGCCCCTATGGGAGGCAATTGACCGATGTTTCTCTTGCACACTCTGGCACGCTCTCTCTCCCTCTCTCTTTCTGGAATTAAAAAAGAAAAAAGGTCCTAGGAGGATTAATGAGTTAAATATATTTCCTAAAGAAAATAGAATGTTAAACCTCTGGCTAGAAGTATTTCTCAATTTTAAAGCAATAGAAGGAAATGATCAATGGATATGACTGGGTAATAAAACTTGTATGTGTCAAACATTTTTAAAAAGCAATCTAAACCAGAAAAAATTACTGACAGCAAACATTTTTAAAAATCTGAATATCTATTATATAAAATAAGTAGGGCTCATACACCTAAAGTAAACTATAGAGTCCCAGTGATCAAATGTAAACAGAAAACAAACAAGCCACATACAAAGAAATCGACTAGTAAAAAGTATATGGTGAAAATTAACCTTGCTGGTAATTAGAGAAATAAGTATTAAGACAAATTAAAGATAAAGATATACATATCATGAGCGCTGGTTTTCTCTTACACTACAGCATTGCTGTAAGATGGTATTGTCCATTTGGAAAGCATTTTGGCTGTAAGTCTCAGGTCTGAGTGCTCCTATATTTTGACTCAGCAGTCCCACTTCCAGGTATCTAGCCAAAGAATATTCCAAAATAAGGAAAAGTTATATATCGCCCAAGTTGTACATCATAGCATTATTTATATTGAAGATTTGGCCGTAATTTAACTATCCTAGAGTAGAAGCTACCTTGTAGCCACCTGGACCGCAGTGTCACTTCCTGTTTCTGTGCCCTTGACCATATATCATTCCTGCTCTCTGCCTGAAGCACCCTCCCTGCTTTTTGCCTATGAGCTTCCTTTTCTTTCTCTTATTCTTTGATCAGCATTATTCGAGACTACCTCATTTGTTCCCCCAACACTTCCTACCTTCTCCCATTTTGGCACTTGGAGACTACCTGTAATTACTTGTTTACCTCCCTTTCTCCATTCTGCTCTGACTCCTTGAAGGGTGTGGTCCATCTCCTTTTAATCTTTTTAATCATTTTAATCATTAGCGCCATGCTAATGTGGCAGGTGCTTGACAGATATGTATTAAAGGAATGGGTAAATTATTTACTCCAGCCTTTTACAGACTGGTAAAATTTAAGGATAATGATTATAAAGAGTACTGTATATGGAATTATCTCAAAGTAATATTGTAAATGAAAAAAATCAAGAGGCAAAGCAGTATACCCAGTAGGCTACCATTTTGTAAAACCAGTGTGTTGACAGATAAGAGTTATTTACACATATTTTCTTGTTAATGGGTAAGGTCTCTAAAGATATGTATGGGAAGGAGACCAGCATTAATTTTTTAATATACCCTTTTGTTTGTTTTCAATTTTTGTACCATGTGCATGATAAATCCATTTCGAAAAATAAATCACTTTATAAAATCATATGCAATTATATGGAGTGAATTCTTGCCAAATAATAACAGCTGTTAGATTGTGTGATTATAGGTGATTCTGGTTTTATGTTTCTGGTTTCCATTTTTTTTAATGTGGTTATGTTGCTTTTATAATCACGGAGATAAAATTATAAACAAAGACAAATAAGAAACTAAGTAACCATTATATTTATTTCATCATGACTACATGACTCAATAAATTCTGGTCTATTTTAAAGGGAAAAGAATGTGAGTACTTTTCTCCCTGGAAACTGTTATGGGCATCTCCTTTATAATTCTCAGATTGAAAAGTAGTTAATAAGTTTAATCCCTGAAAAGCTAATCAGCCTTGCATCTTGCAAGAAGAACAGGTAACACATGTACTAATAGATGCTAGCTGAACAGCAAGATATGACAACAGAATTTTAACCAAAGACACAAAATTGAATGAGCTTGTCTGTCTGTTTCACTCTTCCTGCCCATCTTTCTCCCTCCCGCCTCTCTCTCTTTTCACTGTCTCTCTTGCTCCTCTGGTCCTCTATTTTTCTTCCCCTTCTCTGGAGCCATCTGTACAGATTGCCTCTGTACCTCCATTGCCTCCCTCCTCTCAGAACCCTGGTGCCGTTCCAGTATCCCCCACTCTTTTAACAGCTTTGTGCTTTGGGAAAACCAGGGCAAAAGCCTGGCTCAGAAATGGGCCTGTGACAGAGTTCTGGCCAGTGAGACAAGAGGAGAATCTGCTGGAGACTTCCTCACATCTAAAAGATGGTTTCATTTTGGCCTTGGATTGAATTGTGTTTAGATGTGACACCTGAATCCTCCATATACCGGGATGGAAGAGTGAGAAAAGGAAAGAAACCTAGGCCTTCGTGACCCTTGCAGGCCGACGTAAGCCCGCCTCAAGACTTCCTGCCATGTGAGAGAACTTGCTGGGTTAAGGCACTGTGAGAAAGGTTTTCACTTTCATGCAGCTGAAAGGATCCTGACTTAAACACTCTCCTGATGTTCTCTCCCAACCCTTTGATTTTCTCATCTTGAAAAACCACCAGTGTTTCCATGTTTCTCTCAGCACCCCTTCTTTTTCTACTTTTCCCTCCCTTCTCCACTCTCTCTCAACTGTTCCTGTCTGTCTTTAACAATACAGGGGGAAACCTTTAGCATTGTCTAGCCAGAACATACCTCCCCCTTTCTCTCAGACTTCTCAACCACAAAGTGCAGCCCCATTTGTACTTCATGGTTGACAGGCCTAGATAGATCCAGGTGGGGTCAGCCGGACTGGTGTTGGCATTCAGTAACAAGGCGATCACTGCATGTGGCTGAAATGGAGGCAATTGTTTTTAGGAAAGCTGGGGCCTGTGTTTCCAGGAGGAGGCCAAGACGCTCTCTCTGCAGAAAGAGGAAGGAAGCATAAACACTGAGAAAAACAGCAGCAGAGTGCATGACAGCGTGGGCCACAAA